TCTCTCTCCCTCTCTCTCTCTCTCTCTCTCTCCCTCTCTTAAGTTGTCAGCGCTGGTATTTTTTCCCGCTTTTTCTTAACCTTCCGAGAACATTCGAGTTTCCCTGCTTCCATGTGTTGTGTGGAGATTCAAAAGAAAATCGAAATAACCTTTCAAATTGCAATATGCACATAGTCTCGTTGACAATAGTCCCCAGATTTCTGTTAAAGAACTTAGGAGGACCCTGAGAACAACTTGCTTTGTTTTAATTGTTTTATAGTATGCTCATTATCCCTGTTGACAGCAATCCTCCAGATTTCCGTTAGCGTCGGTGGCCTTGTGGTCAGGCTTCCGGACTCGTATTCATGAGATAATTGACAATGTTCCCCAGTTTCCTGCTGGAGAGCTTTGGAGGACCGGTACTGCTGACTGCTTTGTTCAGATTGTTTTACAATATGCTCACAACCCCACTGACAATCCCGGTGCTTTGTCCAGATTGTTTTCTGATAACATGCTCATAATCCCGTTGACAATCCTCAGATTTCTTAAACAGCAGATTGCTTTGTTCAGATTGTTTTACAAATATTACACTCACATTCCCGTCGACCATCCCCAGTGCTTTGTTCAAGTTGTTTTACAACATTCTCACAATCCCATCAACATATTCCCCCCAGATTCCTGTTGGAGAGCTTGTTGCACCTGTACAGCTGATTGCTTTGTTCAGGTTGTTTTCTGACGTTGTTTTCTAATATACTCACAATCCCCATTGACAATGTTCCCCCACAATATACTCAAATTCCCCATTGACAATCCCCAGGTTCCTGTTGGAAAGCCTGGAGGACTTAGACAGCAGCCTGCGCAAGTTGAACAGCCGTCTGTTCGTGGTGCGTGGCCAGCCGGCCGATGTGCTGCCGCGCCTGTTCCAGGAGTGGGCCATCACGTGCCTGGCCTTCGAGGAGGACCCGGAGCCTTACGGCAAGGAGCGCGACTCGGCTATCTCCGCCATGGCTCGGGAGTTCAACGTGCAGGTCATTGCTAAGTCTTCGCACACGCTCTACGACCCCAAGCTGTAAGTAGTATACAAAGAGATTATGATAATAATAATAATAATAATAATTGCATTTATATAGCGCATATCCACGCTCAAGAGCTTGCTCTATGCGCTTTACAACTATT